TATCAGATAGGTCAAACGATTTCCCTAAATGCGGAGGTATTAGGAAAAATCGGAAAACTCAATTATGCGAAGAGCTCGAACAGATATGCAAGAAAAACTTCACTGATGGAGAAATGTCCGGAGGGAATCTCATCTTTTAAGCATGTGAGTATATACGAACTATAACTAAACTCAAGTATTTGATATGGAAGAAACAATAAGGAATGTGATTGTATTAGTAGTAGTAGTGTCGGTTGTTGTTGTTGTTATTATCATAGTAGCATCAACTACCATCGACCAATAATGGCCAACTCATCATCATATCTGATTATAAGATATAATAATATTATTCACAATAATATTCTTGACAACAACTTACTCCCCTGCTACACCATCTCTACCAATCTCAATGCATGCTGGTTGTGCTGCTGATGATGATGTTGTTGGTATGTCCGAACCCGGTAATTCACGTGAGTTATAACTAATAACGACAGTAATAATAATAAGAGGAGATAATAACATATATTACGGTCTCAGAGATTGTAACCATTCCTCATCAGATCTATCTCTAATATCCTCGAAATCTATCAATTCACCACCACCACCACGACCACCATCCAAAGTCTGTACCTGAATCAATGATAATTATTATTATGATAATGGTAATAGTATTATCTACTACATATAGAGCATCATCGGCAATAGGCATGGGATCTACTTTAAGCATGTCACTATATCTAAAGATAAAGGCGGCCTTCTCCTCCTACTACTACTAATTATTATTATTATTACTGTAATGAATAGGTTCCCCATTCTCTAACACCTAATGCCACTTCAACTTCATATGGTGTTGCTATTGGTACCATAAAATCATCAGTACACCAAGGGAAACTCTCTGGACATGATAACATAACATAACAATTAATCTCTGGGAAATTGGCAAGCTTAGCAGGCTCAATTTGTCCAACATTAAATATGTATACTTCACCTGATAGCAGCAGAAGACATAATAATGAGCACCGTCCTGATCCCTGATATTATTATTAGTACGTCCAGCATTGATGAGTTCTCCTTTAATTCGATTCAATAAAGTATCTTCATGTGGTACCTATACGACGACGACGTTGATTATGATAATCATTACTTACTAGAGGTTATAATAAACATACATCGACAGAGCCAAATAATATACCTATCTTTCTAGCCTTCTTAACCTAATCATAATAATAATAATCACAGTGATAATAGTAATAATAATACTTCTTCAACTAGACGATATCTCCGCATTTCCAACTTAGATGATGATGATGTCATCAAGTGTTGGCCATCCCATCGTAATAATGTTTTAATAGCACTAACAACAACATAGTCATTAATGAATAGTAATAATAATAAACATATAACTTACGGATCAAGCTGTAGACGTAACCACATTGAGGACGATGATGATGCTATTGGCTTATCACCATACTCCTCCTCCTCATGTTGATGATTATAATGATGATGATCATCCATAAATATAACGATAGGAATATTTGATGAACGT